ATTTTTTAAAACTTGTTTGTGAGCCAGCATATGGTCAATCCTGGAGGATGTTTCATGTAGTGATGAAAAGCATGTGTGTTGTGCAGCTCTTGGACGAAATGTTCTGTAAATGTCTGTTAGGTTCATTTGGTCTATGGAGCCTTTTAAAGCTGATATTTCTTTGTTGGTTTTCCGTTTTGATGATCTGTCCAGTGCTGAGAGTGAGGTGTTAAAGTCCCCAACTCTTATTGTACTGGTGTCTGTCTCTCCCTTTAGATCTGATATTTGTTTTATATATCAGGGTACTACAGTGTTGGATGCATATACATTTATAATTGTTACATCCTTTTGCTGTATTGATCCCTATATCATTATGTGATGCCCTTTCTCATCTTTTAGTACAGACTTTGATTTAAAATTTGTTTTTTGTGATAGAAATATAGCTACTTCAGCTGTGCTTTTGCTTTCTATTCACATGGAATATCTTTTTCCATCCTTTCATTTTTAGTCTGTGTGTGTCTTTTTAGGTGAGGTGTATTTCTTGCAGGTAGCACTTGGATGGGTCATGTTGTTTCTATCCATACAGCCAGTCTATATCTCTTAGTTGGGGCATTTAACTCATTTACATTCCAGGTTGTTATTGATATGTGAGGTCTTACTCCTGTCATTTTATTGGTTGTTTTCTGATAATTTTGTGTATCCTTTGTTCCTTTCTTTCTCTCTTATTGTTTAAGCCTTGTGCTTTGGTGGTTTTTTATATTGATAAGGTTTGATTCCTTTTTCTTGCTTTTTTGTGTATATATATTCTACCAGTGAGTTTTATATTTCCTGGTGTTTTCATGACAGTTGTTATTGTTCTTTCTCTTCTAGATGTAAGACTCCCCTAAACATTTCTTGGAAGGCCAGACTGGTGTTGAAGAAATCCCTTAATTTATGATTTGCTGAAAAAGACTATTTTCTTCTTCATTTTTGAAGGATAACTTTACTGGGTATAATATTGTTTGCCATCTGTTTTTTTCTTTCAGTACTTTGAATATATCACCTCATTCTTTTCTGGCCTGAAGGGTTTCTTCTGAGAAGTCTGCTGTTAGTCTAATGGGGATTCCCTTATAAGTCACTTGACACTTTTCTCTTGCTGTTTTGTAGGATTCTTTCTTTGTCTTTAACTTTTGACAGTTTAACTACAATGTTTCTTGGAGAAGATCTTTTAGAGTTGAATCTATTTGGGGACCTTTGAACTTCCTGGATTTGGATGTTCATATCTTACCCAAGAGTAGGGAGTTTTCAGCTATTATTTCATTAAATATATTTTCAATTTTTAAAAATTTTCTTCTAATTCTGGAATTCCCATAGTTTGAATATTTGTTCCCTTAACAGTATCCATAAATTTTGTAGGCTTTACTCATTTTTAAAATTCTCTTTTCTTTTTGGTTTTCCTGGGTTATTTCAAAACAGTTGTCTTAGAGATAAGAAATTCTTTTTTCTGTGTGATCAAGTGTGTTATTGAGACTCTTGGATGTATTTTTTAAAAATTTCATTCAATGAATTCTTCAATTCCAAGTTTTCTGTTTGATTTTTTAAATTATGTATATCTCTTTATTAAATTTCTCATTCAGATCATGAATTGTTTTTCTAATTTTGTTGAAGTGTCTGTATTCTCTTGTAGCTCAGTGAGTTTCCTCAAGATTATTAATTTGATAAGTAGCAATTTCTGATTCTTTGGAATCAGTTATTGGAACATTATTGTATTTCTTTAGTGGTGTCATGTTTGTTTATTCATGTTTATTGTTTTCCTCTGTTGACATCTGTGCATCTGGTGGAATAGTCACCTCTCTGAATTTTGTAGAGTGGTTTGTGTGGGAAGGACTTTCACCTATAAATGTGTTTTTGGGTGTCAGTTGGGTAGAGTACAATGGCTTTGTTCTGGATGGATGCAATAGTGTAGACTCTGTGTCATTTCTTCAGCTGTAATCCACTTTTGCTATGTCTATGCATGCCTCAGTGGCCTGTGTTTAGGTGGTTTGTGGTAGCAGTGGCATGGCTTTGCTGGGGGTGGACTCACTGTGTTAGTTCTCGGGCTGGGGGGTGTGTGCATGCTCACTGTGGGCCATTTGTCTCAGGAGTTGACTTATAGTGGATGGGGTTGCTGGATTGATTTTTAGGCTGGAGGTTTGGCTGTGTAGTATGTCAGAGATTCTGGGTCTTGATTGCCAGTGTCAGGGTGACTGTGTTAATTCTCTGTTCATGAGTGAGCCTGCCAGGCTGTTTTTCAGATGCAAGACTCAGCGGTGGGTCCACCAGTGTCATGAGAGCTAGTCTCAGGCTGTTGCTCTGAGTCAGGGGCTTGGGAACACTTTGGCTTGGCTATTTGGATGTAGATCTTCTGGGAGCCAGTGCACTGTGTCACTTCTTGGGGCCAGTCGTGAGTTCATGCTTCCCTTGGTGGTTTGGGAATGGGTCTGCCAAGAGCAGAGCTACTGAGCTGCTTCTTGGGTAGTGGGCAAGCCCACAAGGTGGGGCTGCAGAGAGGAGGTTCTGTCAACTGCCTTTTGGGCACTGGGCAAGGTTGTGATACAGGCCTGCCATGAGGGGGCCCAGTCAGCTGCTACTCAGCTGGTGGACTGAACCTGCTAGGCAGAACTATTGAGGGTGAGACTGCCTGGCTGCTTTTCAAAGCAAAGGCAAAGGAGGAGGGGGAAGATGCATTTCAGTTTTGTTGATCCCCCAGGGGTGTGTTCGTTAGGATAGGGATCTGTAATGTGTTTTTTCAGAGTTGGGAGCTTAGGTGCATGGAACTCGGCCCGTGGGTAGGGGTGTTGATTGCCTGATATCTAGTGTGTTTCTTTAGCAGCTCTAGTTTCAAGATGGTGCTGTACTGCATTGGCTTGGGTCACAAGGATGGCAAGTAGGGAGGGCATTGTATGTGCTTCTGTTCTGAGTGATGCAGTGTGTGTATTCCAGGCAGCTCCACGCTCGGCTCCAGGCTTGCAAGGGCTGTGGGATCCTCCTGCAGTAGAAACTGCAGGCCTCTGTGGTGAGGATGAGGGTAGTAGGGCCCTCTGCCTACCTTTTTTCCACCAAGGAAAGTCTTTTCTGTGCCAATCCTGATGGCAGAGATGTGGCAGCTGAGGCTGTGTGCCACTCTCTTCTCTCTTCTCTCTCTCCTGCCATCCTGGATTTTGTGCTCCACAGGGATTTCCCCGGTCTCCTCCTGCACCCTTGCACTCTCTGACAGATGCTCCCATCGATATTTAGCTGTATTAGTTGTTCTGGTCCTGTGCTGTGAGAGGGATGTGCCCCAGGTACCTGTAGTTTACCATCTTGCCACACCTCTCAGTAATTCTAGTTTTAATTTCTTTAGGAATCTTTTGTTTTCCACAGTGGCACACTGGTCTGCATTCCTACCAGCAGTGCACAAGGGTTTGCATTTCTCCACATCCTCACCAGTACTTATCTCTTGTCTTTTCGATAATAGCCATTCTAACTGGTATGAGGTGATATCTGATTTTGGTTTTGACTTGTGTTTCTCTGATGATTAGTGAAATTGAGCACCTTTCATACACATGTTGGCCCAATTTTAATGTCTTCTTTGCAGAAATGTCTATTCAAATCCTTTGCCCATTTTTTAATCAGGTTTTTTTTTTCTGCTATTGAGTTGTGTGAGTTCTTTATATGTTTTGGATATTAACCCCTTATCAAAGATGTGTTTTGCAAATATTTTTCTCAGTGTGTAGGCTGCCTTTTCATCTTATTGATTATTTCCTTTGCTGTGCAATTGTTTTGTTTAATAGCTGTAGTAATGAAAACGGTATGGTACTGACGTAAAAACAGACATATTGAACAATGGAACAGAATAGAGAGCCAGAAATAAACTCAAACACCTATAGTCAACTAATTTTCAACAAGGGCACCAAGAGCACACGATGGAGAAAGGATAGTTGCTTCAATAAGTGGTGCTGGGAAAACTGGATTCCACATGTGAAAAAATGGAATTGGACTCTAATATTACACCATACAGAAAAATCTACTGAAAGTAGATAAAAGACCTAAATGTAAGACTGGAAAACTTCTGGAGGAAAACATTGGGGAAAAGTTCCTGACATTGGCTTTAGCAAGGATTTTTTGGATATGACACCAAAAGCTCAGGTTATGAAAGCAATAATGAATAAATGGGACTAACCTTAATAGAATTTCAGTGTAACTTGGATTTCTCAAAGATCTGTGGTGTATGGGTGTATTTCCCACTAGTTTTCAAGGGTAAAAATAGCCACTGGGACTATCTGAAAATATTTTATAGGTATTGAGTAAAACAATCACTAAAGAAAACTCAGGTAGAAAATACCAAAGTTGACTTGTATAAATCTTACATAGACAGCACAAGTTAGACACTTTCTTAAAGCCCATTCAGCCTTCAGGGTATTACCACAGCCCCTGGAATTCTCGTAAAAGGCACTTAAAGCTCAAACTGAAAACCCGTCATAGAGGAGTAGCTGAAATTCTGCACTGTGTAGCCTGACTCTTGATGGCTATAGGGCATCTCTTTTGGAATTGTCCATTCACATTATTTTTATACAGCTCCCAATAAGAGATAGAAGGGGAACATAAGAATATTATCCTGCAGAGTGAAAAAAGATTGGGGACAACATATAGCTAGTGTCCAATATTTGAAGAACTTTTACTATGTTAGAGAAATAAAATTTAATTCTGTATAGGAATATATAATTTTTAAGGTCTCTTCTGATGCCGAGAATTATGAATTTGTATTCCAATGTAAGTGGTATGTTTGGAAGATATTTTCCTGGAGGTATAATATTTCGTAACTAAAATAATGAACTACTATGTAGTAGCTAAAGTAATGTTCTATATTTATTAGGAATAGATATGAATTCTCATCTCTGTTTTTGAGAGCTTATTTTCTGCCACTTAAAATATTTGCTTTTTGTTGTTCAAAAACATGACTGAAAATTTTCCACATTAGTAATGACTATAACATAAAATATTTTTCTTAATGTTTGTTGTAGAGGTTCCAGAAACTTTAGCAGTTGCAGTGCAGAGGACTTTGAGAAGTTAACTTTAAATAAAGGAGGAAACTGCCTTCTTAATATTCCAAAACCTGATGAAGCCTATAGTGCTCCCTTTTGTGGTAATAAATTGGTGGATCCTGGGGAAGAGTGTGACTGTGGTACTCCAAAGGTCAGTTTAATTTTTTATTTTTGCTTTGTAAAATTACCATGATATGTGCAAAAAATAAAATTGCTCATTTTGGGCAGCTCTTGCCTAGGAGCTAAAGTAAAATTTAGTGGCAAAATGAGGATTCTTATTTTGTTGTGTGAATATGTTCCTGGGATTGGTCATCTCCTCCTTCTCAGAAAATATGAGAATACTTCAAAAAGTTCATAGAAAAATAGAATTAGAAGATAATATGAATCTTGCCATAAACTTTTTGAAATACCCTTAAAATGGTATCTATCATCTGTTTTGAAGTCAAGGTAAATACCATGTTTATTCTTCTATTTTTTTGCTACCTTTTACAATTTCTATTATGGTTATTGGCTTACATATTTACTTTAAAGAACTAATCAGCACAGGTATTGACATTCAACTCTGTACTGCACGAATATGTATAATCAGTTATGTTGCAATAAAAAAAATAAAGAACTAATCAGTGTTTCAGCTGGCTCCTTACTTGTAAGCTTTCACCATTCCTGGCACTGCCATTGCAGAAATATTTATTCAGTTGGACTCATTTTTAACGTAGATTGAAGTTGGCCCATCCTCTAGCGTCCTTCAGAATAAAAATTCTCTGTACTCAAAGTAGCACTCTCCCTTTATTAACTTTCAGTTTCCCTCCTGATCTCTAGCTTATCAGATGTTACCCACACATGCTGTTGCGAGCCCATGCCTGTCTTCATTAACGTTGTCTTACAGCCACATTCCTGACCATACTTAGCCTTCCTCCTCTCAAGATGACCTGCTTAAGCCTTCTCCACCTAAACTCTACATGAAGTTTTAAAGAAACTTATTCAGTAGTGTGTAAATCCTACTATATTATTGGTCTTTTACACAGTGTGTCTTCTTTCTTCTTCCTTACCTCACCACACTTGGCGTTTACCAGATGACTTCACTTTCTAGAAAGGCAGTATGTGTCTTATGATGAAGAAAAAACAAACACACAAAAAAGTAAATAGAGCTGCGCTAAACATGGGAGTACAGGTATCCCTTCAAAAGGTTGATTTCCATTCTTTTGGGTATATATACAGTAGTGGGATTGCAGTTGTATGTGTCGTTGTTTGAGGAACCTCCATACTGTTTTCCATAGTGGCTGCACTAATTTATAGTCCCACCAACAGTGTAGAAGAGTTCCCTTTTCTCTGTGTCTTCACCAGTATGGGGGTTCCTAAAACTAAAAATAGAACCCCATTACTGGGTATATGTCCAAAAGAAAGGAAATCAGAATGTTGAAGAGATATCTTCATTCCCATGTTTATTGCAGCTCTATTCACAATAGCCAGAACATGGAATCTACCTGTGTTCATCAGTGAATGAATGGATAAAGAAAATGTGGTTTATATATATAATGAGATATTATTCAGCCATAAAAAACTCCCCAAACAATGAAATCCTGTCATTTGCAGCAACATGGATGAGACTGGAGGACATTATGTTAAGTGAAATAAACCAATCACACAAAGACAAATATGGTATATTCTCACTCATATGTGGGAGCTGAAAAATTGATCTCTTGGAAGTAGAGAATAGAATTATTGTTTCCAGAGGCTGAGAATGGTAGGGGGGATGGAGGATAGGGAGAGATTAGTTAATGAATACAAAATACGATTAGGTAGGAGGAGTAAGTCCTACTGTTCAGGAGCACAGTTGGGTGACTATGGTTATCAGTAATTTAGTGTATTTTCCAAAATACCTATAAGAGAAGATTCGGAATGTTCCCCAAACAAAGAAATGATAATTATTTGAAGTGATGGATGTCCTAATTACTCTGATTTGATTATTACACATTGTATATATACTAGAATATCATGTGTACCCCATAAGTATGTACAATTATTATGTATCAATTAAAATAAATTAATTAAAAAGTAGGACATTGACATTACTATATTAACATAGGGGAGAAGGTTCTGTGGGTGGGATGTTGGGGATAAGGGTGAGCCATGGTGGTCCAAAGTGTGGTAAGAGATGCAAAGCAAGATTAAGAGTGTCCACATAGGGCAAAGAGCCACCCCAAAGAGAAGTCAGACCCTGAGACAGAAGAGAAAGGTATTCATGGATGTTTACTTCCCTGTGATCATTAAATATACTGTTACAAACTGAATGTTTGTGTTCCCCAAAATTCATGTGTTGAAGATCTAACCACCAGTGTGGCTGTATTTGGAGATGGCCTCTAAGGAAATAATTAAGGTAAACGAAGTCGTAAGGTTGAGGCCCTGATCCAGCAGGGTTAGTGTCCTCATTAGAAGAGGCACCAGACATCTTGCTTACCTTCTGCCAGTGCATATACAACAAGGAAAGGCCATGTGAACACACAGCAAGAAGGCAGACATCTTCAAGTCAGGAGGAGAGCCCTCACCAGAAACTGAATTGACAGGAACTTTGATCTTGGTCTTCTAGCCTTCAGAGCTGTGAGAATAAATTTCTATTGTTTAAGCCATCCATTTTATGGTACTTTGTTTTGGCAGTATTAGCAGACTTAGTAAGGCACATACTTTATGATTTCATAAATATGTTGGGACCTGTGTACTTGTAGCTGAAGGGACACCGATAAATCTAGAAGGATAGTAAGTAACTGTCAATGGAGAGTAACTGCTGTAGGAAGGTTAGAGTGAAGTAGATTTTAGGTCTGAAATAAGAATTATACTAATGAGTATTAATGTCAGTAACTCATTTTTTTTTTTTTTTTTTTTTCTGACAGTCATTTTCTATTCACAGGAATGTGAATCGGACCCTTGTTGTGAAGGAAGTACTTGTAAGCTGAAATCATTTGCTGAATGTGCATATGGCGACTGTTGTAAAGACTGTTGGGTAAGGAATTCTTCTCTATTAGGATCAAGAAAACAGAAAAAGAAAAATCTGTATATATCAAAATTTGTTTTCTGAGATCTCTAAGAGAACACTATTTTTATTATGATTATGGGAAAAAAACTTATGCCGCTTGTTTTCAGTGTTAAAGCACATTCTTTTATGATAAATGGTCTATTGAGATATTTTCCTAAGTGGAAACTTAAAAAAAATTTTTTTAGAGTAATGTATATACTTGTTAGAAATAATTCAGCGATACTAAAGTATAGAAAGTAGAAAAGGAAAGACCCTCTCTATTAATTTACTCTCCTCAGGTAGCCATTGTTGATATATTTTTTAAACATTGTTGATAATTTGTTGTTAACCTAGTCACTTTTTTTATACAAATGTGAGAGAGAGAGAGTGTGTGTATAAGTGAGTAAATGCAGATACACATATTTTACTACCCGCTTTTTTCAGTAAGATACCATGGACTTTTATCTGTTCATGTAGTTCTACATGGCTATATAGTCAGTCTTTAGTAAACTAGAGATGGACTTTTAGATTGCTTCTAAGTATTGATTATAAGAGAAATCATCGAAGCATAATACACATATTAAAATTTTTGATACATTTTATATATGTCTTCTACAAATGTGCATGTCTGTACTTGTACTAACAGTTATGAAATAGTTGTTTTCTTATGCCAACATTGGTTACTAGCAAGTGCTGTAATTCTAGTTAGTTCAATAGATGTAAAGTGCTCTTGTATTTTTATTTAATTTTCATTTCTTTTGGTTAGCAATGAAGTTACCGATTTTTCATTTTCATATTTATGACTTTTATGAATTGCCTATTAGTAGTTTTTGTTCATTTTTCTATCCGGTTATTTAATCATTTGTTGTTGGTAGAACCCTTTATAGATATAAATACTGTGGTTTCAACTTTGATTAGTTTGTGGAAATTATCCTGATTTTTCTTTTTAATTTGAATCTTATCCTAGTTCCTTCCAGGAGGTACTTTATGCCGAGAAAAAACCAATGAATGTGATGTTCCAGAATACTGCAATGGTTCTTCTCAGTTCTGCCAGCCAGATGTTTTCATTCAGAATGGATATCCTTGCCAGAATAACAAAGCCTACTGTTATAATGGCATGTGCCAGTATTATGATGCTCAGTGTCAAGTCATCTTTGGTTCAAGTAAGATAGTATTATTTATAAGTGATTGCTTTGATTTTATTTTTGCTTTAGATTTTTTAAAAAAGTAAATAACACATTATTAAAGTTGAAGTTCTCTTGTTCCCCTCTCCTGTCAAATCTCCCTTCTTCCTTCTCCACACGCAGTCATGGTCATGAATTTAAAGTGTCCAAATTCAATTGATGTTTTTTGCTTTTACTATCTCTCTTTTTCTCATTATCCTCTGTGTATAAAATCCATGCACACACACGTATGCCGTGTCACTTTCTGGTTTTAAAATTTGGGTTTGCATGTGGATCTGCTGTTTGCATTGTTCACTCAGAATGTTCTTCACAATCTTTATATTGACACATTATATCATAGCGCATCAGAGGTGGTCCGTTAGATAAATGGACTGTGATTAGTTATCCATTCTTTTACTGATAGATATTTAGGATGTTTTAAAATTTTTTCCCTATTTTTTCTTTTTAAAATTTTTATTTTTATCAAAGGTATACACAAATTGATTAAAGAGGCAAATTGTTGTATAATGTTCATTATGAAAAAAATAAAGCCTATTCCCACCCAGTATTTCCATCCCTTGAGGCAACCACTTTTATCTTTTTTAGCTGATTTTTTTGTTATTTGGTCCTTGCCTTTTGATAATCTCTTGGTAATGCTACTTTATTTTTCCATTCTAGGCATTAACTATTAATTTCTTACTATGGAAGGTGAGAATTAGTTTTCTTTCCTTCTCTCAATCTTTGACACCTCCCGTCATACCCATGCTCATTTTCCAGTCTTTATCCTCCCAATATGGATTAATTTCAGTTTTGGTGAGAGCAGTGTTGACTGTGTGTTGTGTAATAGCCATGTTAATGCTATTCACAACTGAAGTTTGTAGTAAGTTACAGTTGCCTTTCTGCCTATTGTTTTCTCTAGAGTTAATGATTGTCTTTTTTTGTTTTTGTTTTTGGTTTGGTTAGTTTCTGTGTATTTACCACTAATTCAACTGTACATTGTTAACCAGTGGCCTAGTCTTGCCTTGAGGTGTTTAGAGACATCAGGTATTATACTAATTTTAATCTGTTTGAAGAAGTCTGAGCAGGAGGCCCCTGTTTCTCTTCAGTCTTGACTGGTTGCCCTCTGTATTAGTCGGGGTTCTCCAGAGAAACAGAACCAATAGGAGATATATATGCATATACACTCATATGTGTATAGCACACACACACACATACACGCACCCCATGGGGGACTGGTTTCATGATCCCCTGCAGATACCAAAATCACGGATGCTCAAGTTCCTTATAAAAAATGGCATTATATTTGCATAGAACCTATGTATATCCTCCTTATACTTTAAATCATCTCTAGATTACTTATAATATCTAATACAATGTAAATGCTATGTAAATAGTTGTTATACTGTATTGTTTAGGGAATAATAACAAGAAAAAAGTCTGTACATGTCCAGTACAGGCGCAACCATCCATTGTGTTTTCAAATGTTTTCAATCTGTGGTTGATTGAATCTGTGGATGTGGAACCCATGGCATACAGAGGGCTGACTGTATATTTATTACAGAGGCTGGCTCATGTGATCATGTAGGCTGGTAAGTACCAGATTTGCAGGGTGACTTGGCAAGCTGGAGACCCAGGAGAGGCGACGATTTGGTTCCAGTTTGAACCTGAAGTCCTTAGAACCAGGAGAGCCAGTGGTACAGTTCCAGTTGGAAGGCCGGCAGGCCCATGACCCTGGAAGAGATAGTGTGTCAGTTTGGTTCCAAAGAGGAAAAAAGCCGATATTCCTCTGAAGGCCATCAGGAAGAATTCCCTCTTACTTGAGGGACGGACAGTTAGCCTTTTTGTTGTTTTCAAGCTTGAAACTGATTGGATGATGCCCACCTAGAATAGGCAGGGCAATCTGTTTTACTCAGTCTACCAATTTAAATGTTAATCTCATCCAGAATCACCTTCACAGAAGCATTGAGAATAATGATTGATCAAATATCTGGGCATTTGGTAGTTCAGTCAACACATACAGTTAACCATCAAAGTCCATCCCTTGAAACTGGACAACCATAGGAAGCTTCTTAAACCATACCAGATCTTCAAATGAAAACCTTGTTAAGGTTATAGCTCTACCTAGCGTGATAGAACTATCTTGTGTATAACTGAAAATGCACTAACCTCTTCCCCAGAAAAGCAGGTAAAATTTTTGAGTGATGCTTACTTTTCTCTTTGATATCTTGTAACTTAACTACTGTGATGTAAAGTTAACAATACTTAAATATTATGATATAAAGTCAGTATATCTTATGTTACATGATAAAGGGTTTATTTCCTACCCCCTGTCATGCAAAGGTCTTACTGATGTCTAGACTGGTTGCTACTTCTAGCTCACTAGGTCCAATGAGCATAGTGTCTTCAATGTGATGTGCTAGTGTGATATGTTGTGGAAGGGAAAGGCAAGCAAGATTGCCAACACTGAATTATGACATAGGGCTGGAGAGTTGATGCACCCCTGAAGTAGGACCTGCTTCTGGTAGGCCTTGTGGACAGGGAGAGGGAAAAAGGCATTAGACCGATCATAGCCGTGTATCAGGTACCAGGGGATGTGTTAATTTGCTCAAGCAGTGAACCATATGTGGTGCACCGGCTGCAATTAAAGTCAATACCTAGTTAAGTTTACAGTAATCCACTGTTATTCTCCAAGAGCCATCTGTCTTCTGCACAGGCATTATAGGCCAGTTGAATTGGGATGTGGTGAGAGTCACCACCCCTGCCTCTTTCAAGTACTCGAAGGTGACACTAATCTCTGCAGTCCCTCCAGGAAGGTGGCATTGATTTTGTTTTACTCTTTTCTCAGGTAGAGGCACTACTTTTGCTCCATGTTTCAGCCAACCAACCAAAAAACTGCTAGAGTCCTTTTAACTCTCTGAATAGCAACATTAAATGCAGAACCTCTGCCTTGTAAGCCCTCATCGAGAATTACAGCCCAATCCCACTGTGTGTTCTTTGCACTGTTATCCCACACCCTTAATGTCCATTCTCACACATGTTCCCTGGACCTCTGTCTGTATAATTAGCAAACTCAGGTAGTTTTTGTATTGGAGTGTAGCAAGCCCCTTCATGGGTCATACTTTGTAACTCATCTTTAGGGGCCTGCTAGGACATGAGTCTAGTTATAGTTGTAGAAGCAAAGAGGGGTGTTGGGGGGGGGGTCCTGAGGAGAATCGGCATGATCTTACATGGCAGCTGCCTCAGGGGAGTCCATTACAGTACCTCAGGCAATGCAGGGTTAATTCCCTCAGACTGTGTAGAGGCTGTTTCCATTGGGGGTGGAGCAGCCTCTTCCACTGACAAAAAAGACTCATCAGAATTTAGCAACTCAGTGTACCCAGCTTCATCAAGGTCTTCCTACATGTTCCCATTCCTGCTTTCAAGATCTCATTTTTGACATTCAGGGCTCTAAATTTAATAGTAGATTTCCTATAAGGCTGGGAGTTCACTTGCATTTAGTCACTGCAGGATGAGATTCTGGGTTTGATTTTCAGCAGTCGCAGTCCTGCTGAGATAAGGGACTCCTTCAAGAGACACAGGGTCTCCTTTCAGGTCAGGTATGTGGCGCTTGAGCTGGGAATCCCTGCACTCCTTTTCATTCCCTACTTGCCCAGTGACAGCAGGAGCAACCAGGCAATCTCATTATACCTGTTAGTTTGACAAAAATATTTGAAGGTGTCATAACACAGTCACCCAGATCCTTGCTTTTTATAAGTGACTGAGTAGGAGTCTTCAGTGGTGATATTTTGTGTACCTCTATTACTAGATCACACCATGGACTATCAGTACTCTCTTTACTTCTGGAAATAGCATCATTAGCATCTTTAAAAATTTAATCAGGTTAGAGAGCTAATTCCAGAAATCTCAGAACCAATTCACAAAACTCATCCATAAAATTCTGTTCCTCTAGAAACACTCTTGGTACCAAAATCTCTATAAGTCAGACTCCAGAGAGAGAGTATAAATTTTATATATATGTGTATATATATGTGTGTGTGTGTGTATATATATATATTACATATATATTTTATAAATATATACACACACATATTTATTTCTTATAAACAATTGGCTCATGTGATTGTGGCAGCTAATAAATCCCAGATCTGCAGGGTGAGTTGGCAAGCTGGAGACACAGGAGAGGTGATAGTTTAGTCTGAGTCTGAAGGCCTAAGAATTAGGTTTGCTGATGGCATAAGTTTTAGACAAAGACCCAGTAAGACCCCTCATATTTGAAGGCTGGAAAAAAGCAGTATCCAAGTCTGAAGGCCATTAGGAAGAATTCCCTCTTATTTCAGGCAAGGGTCAGTTTTTTTCTTCGATTCAGGCTTCAACTGAGTGGTTTAGGGCCATCCACAATACTTAGTCTGCTGATTTAAATATTAATTTCATTCAAATGCATCCTCACAGAAACACCCAGATTAATGTTTGACCAAACATCTTGGCATCCCATGGTCCAGACAAGTGGACACATAAAATTAACCATCACACCCTCTGTAACTAGTCTTAACTTTTATCCTGAGATTTCCTCTTACCATAATCCTAAAATGGATTTTTGTCTCTCTCCTTTTTGAATCTCCTGTATGCTGTTTCCAAAATTGCCCTCTTTTTTGGTTTATTTCCTCCTTTACATGAAGCTTTTCTTTTGGTAGTTTCTTTAGATAGGATGAATTGGAGGTAACTTTTGGAGATCCTGCAAGTATGAAAATGTTTTCATCTTAACTGAATACCTGACTGGTAGTTTGATGGGGTTTGAAATCATTTTCCTTCACAGTTTTGAAGCCATTGCTTCATTGTCTTCTAGTTTATAGAGTGGCTGTTGAGAAGTCTGAAGCTATTCTGATTCTCGTATATGACCTTTCCCCCCTGCTCTGGAAATGCTTGAGGATTGTCTCTTCAAAATGATGTGACTTGATCTGGGTGTTTTTATTCATTGTGCTGTGTACTTGATGGGCGCATTTAACTTGGAAATTTATTTTTTTAGTTCTGGACTTTTTTTCCCCTTTAGTTTTACTTTATGGTTTCTTTTCCTGGATTACATATTATTTGGATATTGGATTTCTTGGATATTCTTATATTTCCTATTTTTTGCATACTTTCTGGGCAACTTCTTCAATTTTATCTTCAAATTTTTAAATTGAGTGTTTCATTTTATTTATCATAGTTTTGGTTCTCATGAACTCTTTTATGTTCTCTGAGTTTTTTTCCCCCATTTCTTTTTTATTTAAAATTTTTTTTGTGGCTGGTAGGTGATTTGAACCCTTGACCTTGGTGTTATAACACTGTGCTCTAACCAACTGAGCTAACTGGCCAGTCCTTTCCCCATTTCTTTTTAAGAAGTAATCTATTCTTGTTCTATGTATGAGACATCTTCTCTCATGTCTCTCAGTATAGTAACTTTTAAAAAGTTATCTTTTCTCTTTGTTTGTATTTCTGTCTTTTATATTAGTAGTGTTCCTCAGATGTCTGATAGTCCTTGGTCCAAGGGACGGGATATGGAGCAGATGAGTAGATCTAGGCCCGTGTGTGGGGCTTGGTAACTGTAAGCTTTTCTGTAGGATGATATGGTTAAACCTTTTAATTGGGCAAATGCCAAAATCCTCATCTTTATTTTATTTTTTCTCTTGGGCTTATTAGGGTCCCTTGTGAAGACCTTACTTATCCCTAGCCTGGAGGGGCAAGGCCTGGCTACCAGCATTCTGGGTGGCAACGGGGAAAAAGACTGGGGATCTCAGTATGGGGTAGGCAAATAGTCAGTTCATCCTCTCATTTTTGGAACAGTTTCTGTGCTTATTATTATGCCTGGTATCTCTGAGTTATGAAACCCTGTGTTTTATTCTCTCCAGAAAATAAACCTCAAGTCTTTTTCAGGGTAGAGAATAAACAGTCTTCTGGCTGCCCAAAGAGAAGGGTGATGTGTGCATCTAACTGCTTCTTAAACAGACTTTAAATTTTTCCTCTTCACTTTAGCTACCTGCCTCTCCTTACCCCTATATCCAGAGGTGTCTGGTACTACCAATTTCTTATTTTTGTGGAATTCTATGGTATAAAAAGGGTTGATCTCAGTTTTCTCCACCGCCAGCTTAAGGTTCTGTTTTCTCAACTACACTAAGTCATTTACTACTTAACCAGCTGCTTTTCAGCTTTCCAAATTTGTGTGCTGTCTCCTTTCCCACTTCTACTCTCCATGGGTTTATGAATTAAAAAATATGTATATATTTTTCTTTGCTTACATGGGATTTCGGGAGGTAGGGAAAAATATATACATGTGTTCTAACCCTTTCCTTGATGGATTATGCTTTTAAAGATATAGTCAATTAGTTCAGGTGTTATATGTCTAGTCTTCATTCCTTTGAATTTTTTGAACTTGTGGAGTATAAGGAATTTGAAAGTCATTCACTAGCTTATGCATTCCCAAATTTCTTATTCTTTGAGTAAATACTAAATGAATGTTTATCAAATAAATGAAAAACTTGAGAGAGAACATATATGAGAAGGTGTTGATACTTATTATCAAACTTTGTATTTGGCCCTAAAGACACCATATAAAGAAGCTAAGGCTGAGAGGGATAAACAGCTAGCCCAAGGTCACACAAACAAAATGCAGTAAATCCGTGATCTCAACCACCATGTGCATGGTGAGCTGATGAAGCCTGTTGCTGGAAAATTAATCAAGGACATCAAAAGTAAAAAATAAATATTTCCCATACTCTGAATATCCTGGATGAGTAACCACTGATAAAAATTTGATGAATATCTTTCATGTATTTTTATGCATATGACTGTATATGTGTATAATATACAAAAATAAGATCACATTGATATACTGCTTAAAACCTTTCTTTTTTCAATATTAACCATAAATTGTGAGTACTTTTCCATGTTTTTAAGTACTTTTCTATAACATCCTGTTAATGACGTACTATAATTTAACAGTCAACAATGTTGACAGTGAATACTGTATAGTTCAGTCTTTGCCCCATCCATGTTTTTCTTCAAGTTACATTGTTTATTAAAGACTACGTTCTTTAAAGATTTTTAAGACATCTCCACATAATCTCCAAAAATATCATACCATTTTATTCTCTCATTAGCTGTACATGACTGTTCATTTCATCAAATATATCCAACAAGTCTTTCCATTTTTACAAAAGCTCTGCTAATGTGATAAAGGTAAAACATATTTTTATCATTTCAAAATGTGCATTTTAATTACTAGTGGGTTTGAATGTTTTTTTTTTTTTTTCATATTGCTGTTGGCCATTTGTACTTTTTTCTTAAATCTTGCCTGTTCCTGACCTTTGTTCACTTTTCTACTAAGCTATTTATTCCGTATTGCTATTTTGCAAGTTTTTTTTAGATTAAGAATATTAACTATTTTTCATGTGTTATAAACATTTTCTCCCATTTTGTCCTTTATGCTTTAATTTTGCATATGTTGTCTTTAATTTTTCTGGGATTTATTGAACAACTCAGTTTTCCTAGTGATTTGGAATAGCACGTTTATCTTTTTTTTTTTTTTTTCCTATATAAAGATGACCGGTAAGGGGATCTCAACCCTTGGCTTGGTGTTGTCAGCACCATGCTCAGCCAGTGAGCAAACCGGCCATCCCTATATAGGATCCGAACCCGTGGCCTTGGTGTTATCAGCACCGCACTCTACCGAGTGAGCCACGGGCCGGCCTACGTTTATCAATATACCAAAGCATCATGTATACTTGGATCTATTTCTGGGTTTTCTGTTCTGTTCCAGTAGTCTGCTGAAAGAAGACAACATTCTTATGATTCCTTTAACAAAATTATTTGATGGGAAATTCTGGTTTTTACTGTTGCTTTATAGGCCAGAACATATGTTAGCAGAGCTTCAGTATAGGTAGACATATGCTGTTCCTAGGAGAATGAGAAGAGATGAGGCATGAGAGAAGTTAGATTTAGACTTTCCAGGAATTTGGACTACGTCCTTCAGGTTGCTCACCTTAACCTTTTTTTTTTTTTGGGCCAAGGATTTTAAGTTAAGCTTTTTCTGTCCTAGGTAATGGAGAACCATGGATGTTAAGTGTGGAAATGACATGATTAGATTTGCCTTTGGGATTTCTCTAGCAACATTGTGGAGCATAGCTTTGAGGAGCGGAGAAAAGATGTCAAGTAGCTGCTGTGTGGTTGTTCTGATGGGAAACCACGGATAATTTGCATCGAGGCATGGCAGCACCTGTAGGCAGCTTTATTTGTATCACACATCGATGCCAGCAGTGTTCCAACAGCCATAGTCTACACTGTGTTGCATCCTGTGTTTCCTTTATTGGCTTCAGATGATCGAAGCTGCTCAGGGAAAGGGTTGCTTTTCAGCACATCTATGCAGATTGCTGTGCTTGATAACTGGCAGTGATTTATGCCAAAACCATTCTAGAATCCTCTTTTTCCCACCTTCTTCCATTTTTGTCTTGAGTTATTAGGAACAGCAACAACAGGATATTGAACCTAGTGGAATATGTGAGTGCCATGTGTGTGTTCATGCTTATCTTTAATTCAGAAGAGATAATGGACAGTTAGGACTAGGAGTTTTTCTGTTTTTCTTCAGTAAGCTACTGGTAAACTCTCTTATCTGTCAGGTGTGGGACACTTAGTAGGTGGTTAATACATATTCAGTGAAGGAAGGAAGGGAGGAAAGGAGGGATAGAGAGAGAGAGGAAGGAAATGAGGAAGGAATGAAACCCAAATCCTTACTTCACCTCTTCTGTTTTTATTTTTGTTCTGTTACTTCATTAAGAAGATCAGTCATGGGTACAGTGCTAGATTTCTCTGAATCTAGAGTTGTTGATTTTGATCAGACTTTTGATTTTGATCAGAAACTATTTCTAGTTTCTGTTGTACCCCTTATCTTATGGTGGGTCAGATAGGGACTGAGGACGGAAGACTCTGTAAGAAATAATCGGGACTTATGTGAGGCAGGTCATGGGATTGGGTGGTAGAGATCAGTCAACTTCTGATATATTTTGCAGGAATAGGCAGGTTATTCCAGACCAAAAAAGTAATTACAGATAGGCATTTTAACTATTACCTAGCGAAGATATTACCTTTATAGAGACTTGCAAAAAAGTCTGGGACTAAGGGAATTACAGTTCTTTTTTTTTTTTTTTTTCCTTTGTGTCTTATCTGGAACTTTTATAGCTGTTACTGTTCTTTTTAAGGGAATATTGCCATGTGATATTTGTTCTGTGCAAGTTTTCCATATTCATTTTTTTATATTATTTTATCCTCTGCCTCTTTTTTGCTGTAACTCCTTTCAGCCCACATCGACTTTCTTTAAAACTAAACAGCATAGTATCAGATGAGTAAGATAGGCAAGTGACCTTCTTTTATTAAAGAGGCAGTACTGGCATTTTGCCTTAAAAATATTTGCAAATAAAACATTTGTATAATTAGGTGGAAGAATTGAATATTAAGTGATATGTATGTAAAGTGTAAGAAAACAAGAATGGATTGGTACTTTGTCACCTGTCAGGGGTATTTGTCAATTCATCTAATTAGTAGGAACACCTAAGCTAAGTGTCCATATATGGTAAGTAAGAAAATAAAAGTAATAGCTGATAGTGTTTTCACTGACCCCTCCCAGCCTGATGTAACCAGTGGTGCAGCAGATGTATCTGTGAGAGCAGGGGAATGACTGTGCATGGTTTTTAGTCTATTTATAATTTCTTATTTAATGACATTTCTTTCAGGGTCAAAGTGTTTGAGTCCAGGGTAACTTTTAAGTACAATCTAAGCTTTGTTTTTACATTTTGTTGTTACTTATAAAATGTGCAACAATAGTGTTTTATGTGTAAGGCCTGATATTTTTCCAATTCATCCAGGTGTGTAGGGAATACTTTTATTTCTGAAGTTAAATTGTCATAACTTTTTTTTTCTAATTTAAATGTTTAATGTTACAGAAGCCAAGGCTGCCCCAAGAGATTGTTTCATTGAAGTGAATTCTAAAGGTGACAGATTTGGCAATTGTGGTTTCTCCAGCAATGAATATAAGAAGTGTGCCACTGGGTAAGTGGAGGTGAAGTCATGAAGGATACAAAAGACTTTAAGACCATACATCTCTAGTATCTTTTTGTAACTGCACCTTGTGACTGCTCATTTTCTTCCCCTATACCTAACTTTTCAAACTTACGTTTTACAACACAAAGTTTTAGAGAGACTCTGGTGTTAAGAACAGAACTGGTAACATAATTCACCCCTTTAGACATCAACTGTCTAAAATCTGGTGGTTTTTAGAATCTAACTTTGTTTATTCTTTATTTACAGTAAGAACCTCAACTAAACACCCTTTTCATTTTCCTTTCAATAAAAGATTATATGTCCCTAGATAAATGTACCCACAGAATTAATTGATTAATTCATTATTTTCTTCTCATTCTATATAATTTTGAAATGATGAATTAAAACATGTTTTATTTCTATAACATTTGCTTATTGAACAATAAAAAAGTCATCTAATCCATACGTATTCACTATTTTCAGTGTATTTTCCCCCTTTTTGTTTCTGTGCGCTTCATATGCTCACACTGACATTTAGTATAATTAGAATTATGCTGTAATACTATACTGTGCTTTTACCCACTCCACCTCCTATGCCACCAGTTAGACTAAGTGACTGTAGTGAAACGATGCTTGCTAAGGAGAAATAGCAGTAGTGACCCACCTCCACGTCACTAGATCCAACAGACATTTTTAGGTCTTTATGCTACTTGACCTTTAAGTGGCATGTGACTGTATTGAAAATTTTGTCCTTGAAGATACCCCTTTTTTTGGCTTTCATGTGGAATTTGTCATTAGGTACATACACATTTAGGATTGTATGTCTTCCTGTTGAATTAACCCTTTTATTATTACCAAATTTTCTTCTTTATCTCTGGAATGTTCTTTTATGGTATTTGTCACAGTTCCACTTGTTTGTGTGACTGTTTGGTTATTACCCTTCTTCACTCAACTGTAAGGTCCAGTGACACATTTTATCTTTTGCATTTAACGTAATGCCTGGAAGGAACATAGTAAGTGCCTGTTTAATGTTTGTTGGACAAACGAATGAAGGTATAGATGACCTGAAGAATGAGTAGTGGAGGGTTAGTGTGACTGATCGCACGAGCTGAGCTAGCACCTAGGGGTAGTTGGATCAATGTAGACTTGGAGGGAGCTTCCTAGACATACTGTATCCTTGTTTTTAGCCTTGTCTGGTTTCATATTTTTATGAATATCTTGTTGAAAATATAGAAACTACACTTATCCAACTTATGAATTACTGGGGCTCATTTGAGAAACATTTTATAATAGTAAAATAAGGATAATATAGTCATTAAAAATACACATTTGAAGTGAGACTTGTTGGGTTTGAATCCTAGTTCAACCACTTAACATCTCTGAGACTTTGGACAAGTTACTTCATTTACATACCTCATTTTTCTCCTCTGTAAAATGGGGGTAATAATTGGAAATGGTGTCTACAAGGAGTCTTCAAAAAGTTCATGGAAAGATTTGTGTTATATTTTAATTCTATTTTTCCATGAGCTTTTTTTTTTTTCCTTTTTGTCTTTTTTTACTGACCGGCAATGGGATCTCAACCCTCGGTGTTGTGCCCACACTGCGCTCAGCCAGTGAGCAGGAACCGGTCTCCACATGGGATCCGAACCCTCGGCGGGAGCGCCGCCACACTCCCAAGCGGCGCACTCTCCAGTGCACCACCGGGCCAGCCCTCCATGAGCTTTTTGAAGTACCCTTGTATTTCCAGTTATTGTCTTGAAGACTGAATGAGTTGATGGTTGTTGGTACTGAGAAGAGTACCTGGTTCATTTTAGTCTCCTTGTCATTGTCATCACCATCATCATCACTGTTTGTTATCATCCTTATCATAGAAAATGTCTGAAATCTAGAAAAGCCTAAAAAAGTAATCACATATGATTCTGCCATCTGGAGATACTCCCTTAATTTTTTGTTGTGTTTCTTTCTTTTTTTTTTTTTCCTTTTTGTCTTTTTCCGTGACCGGCAACGGATCGCAACCCTCAGTGTCGCGCCCATACTGGACCGGGACTGGCAGCGGGATCGCAACCCTCGGTGTTGCTCCCGCACCTTGCTCAGCCAGTGAGCGGCCGGTCTGTATGTGGGATCCGAACTGTCAGTGGGAGCGCCACTGCGCTCCCAAGCGGCGCACTGTAGCAGTGCGCCACCAGGCCGGCCCCATTGTGTTTCTTTCTGATGTGTATGTACATTGATAAACACAAGTCTCATGTTTATGTTCCATGTGTTCCCTTTCACATGTTCCTTTTCATTACATAGTGTCATCTTTTTAAATTTTTTAAGTGAAAAATTTCAAATATACAGAAGAGTAGAAAGAATAGTATGATGAACACCAATATATCCTAGATGAAAATATTGTTAAGTTTTATCATATTTGTTTTATGTAGACTTTGCCGGACCATTTTAAAGTAAATTAAAGGCACTAAGATGCCTTACTCCTAAATTCTTCAGTATTTATCACCAGTAAATAAGGCCATTCATAATGCCATATTGCACCTAACAAACTTAATAATTTCCTAATATAATCTGATATTTGGTCAATATTAATATTTTCCTAATTGTCCTCAAATTGTTTTTCTTAGCTGGCATTTTTCCACATCAGGACTCAAAGATGACACATTGCATTTAGTTGTCATGTCACTTAAGTCACTTTTGATCTAAAATATCCCTCTTTACTTTATTCTTTTTAATGACAGTAACCTGTGGAAATGGTTAGACTAGTGGGCCCGTGTTCTGGTTCGTTTGATATTTTCCTCTCAATGTTGCTTATCTTTTCCCTTTATCCATTGAATCTTTTTTAAATCAGATGTTAAATTTAAAATCTAAATTTACTTCAGGTTAAACATTTTTGGCAAGAATACCTCATAAGCAATGCATCAAGGAGGCACATAGTGTCAGGTTGTCTTATTATTAATGATACTAAGTGGCGATAACCAGATCTTGCTATTGTAAGGTTGTTTTTTCCATTGCAGCTATCAGATAATATGTAAAGTGGTGATTTTGTACCATATAAATATCCAGTTCTCCACCAATGTTTCACCTTATGGAAGCTCCTTGCCTGAAGCAATTATTTTATTGAGGATTGCAATAGAATTTTCTTTTACTGTAACGAACATCTCTTCTTAGCTTTGTTAGTTGTCTGTATTTCTTATTTTGTGAAGTGCCTATTTGCATCTTCGCTAATTTTTCTGTTAAAGTGGTTATCTTTTTCTTAGTGATCTGTAACAGCATTTTATATGTTAAGAGTATTTTTCTTTTACTCTTTAGTGTCACCAAGACTACATATGAAATAGTGAGTATATCATAGCAACATGAATTTTGGTGGACTCCAACAGACACTGACTGAGCTCTGCTTTATGCTGTGCTTGGTTTTAGAGGTTTTCATACCTAATTTCAACCTACTACATGAGATAGGCATTACTATTTATTTCTTTTTTTTCAGATGAACAAACTGAAGCTCAGAAAGTTTAAGCACTTTACTCATTTAGCAAATAAATGATGACATAAGATAAATGCATAATTGGGACAAAATTATTAACTCTTAAATGCAGAAAGGAGGGAATATGAAGACTTAATAGCAGGATATGCAAAAATTAAATAGGGGTTTTAGTTTGTGATAAATTCAAGAGCATTAATAATGTAACGTAATTACCATAAAAGCTACTGTAATCTTGGGCATAATAGAAGTACAGTATCTGGAATAAATGAGAGATCCATTTTTTTCTTTGCTTGTCAGGCTGTAACTGAGATTTCATGCTCCATTCTGGGTTCTATGCTTCATGAGGCAGTGAGGCCAACTGTCACGTACTTAGAGGGGGGCTTTCTTGATGCATGAAGAATGATTGTAGGATATTGTTCTGGTGATATAAGTATTTAGGACTATGTAATAATTGTCCTAAAACAGCAGTCCTGTGAAAGAAGGAAAAGACATTATCTGTTTGGTCTCAAGTGGAAGATTCGGGACCAATGAAGAAAAGTTATAAGGACATAGGTTTTAATCAAATAAGTAAAAGAATATTATGATAGCTAGAACGGGAAGTTTCAGGAGGTAGTGAGCGAGAAGTGTTGGGAAAAAATATTCTGTGACGACTTTGCAATGATAATAGAGAGTAGATTCAAGTATTTGGGTAGTTGCTTGGGTGTGATGACAATCAATTACGTAGGAAGTTTCAATACAGCATCATAAGAATTGATGTTTGGGGTATTTAGGGTATTATGAAGGAATATTGGAAGGGCATTTGACACATACAGCCTTGGTGATAGGAATTGTGGTCAGGTATGAATTAATAAGTTAATAAACTGAGTCTTTAACTATGTAACTAAGAGTTAGCCAGGCAAAGAGGGGTGGAGTCTTTTCTTAGTCGTTTTACATTATAAAATCTAATTTCCTCCTTATCATAACTCTGTAAGAAGACACTATTGAATTTTGGTATTTCTGTATTTCCTATGTAATAGCGTTTGTAAAATTATATTTATAAGCACCTTTATTAGATGCTTTTGAACCCTAGATAGACAGTAAAGAGGGATCAAGTTTGGCAGAAAAGGTGCATGACCTTGTACCCTAATAATTTGCGTCTTAGCATCCACTTACCTTGTCTTCCCTTATTTCTGTATTTAAAGAAAGCTGCTTTGACCTCTATTGCTCTCATACACTTTCTCAGAGAGAATCTTTTCAGCTTAATAGCAGTGAACTCTGTCTATATACAAATATATAATTTTTCTTCTGTATATGCACAGGATGCATTTTATTTTTGCATTATTTCTTAACAGGAATGCTTTGTGTGGAAAGCTTCAGTGTGAGAATGTGGAAGACATGCCTGTATTTGGAATTGTTCCTTCTATTATTCAAACACCTAGTCGAGGCACCAAATGTTGGGGTGTGGATTTCCAGTTAGGATCAGATGTTCCAGATCCTGGGATGGTGAATGAAGGCACAAAATGTGATGCTGGAAAGGTAATCAAAGTGTTTTCTATTTACAAAGTGAAGTAAAAACAAATTTAAATATCTTTATGCAAAGTAAGTGGATGCTCTTTTCTGATTGTAAAATAAATTCATATTTACTGTAGAAATTTTGTCTTTAAGCTGCCAAGATGAAAATTAAGAACAACTATAATTATACAATCCAGATTTCTTCATTGAGGTCATATAACTAACGTTTATCAGTTTGCAATGTACTGTGTGTATCTACTCCCACTCCCTACCCCTAGTTGATGTGCTATAATTTATTATCCAGTTTGCTATTATTGGGATGTTCAAGTGATTTTCAGGATTTGGAGATGTGTATGTCTGTGCTTGTCCTGCCCATGCTCCTCATCACCCTGACTACAGCTGTTTGGGTCAGATGTGAGCCAGTGTTAGCCAGCCGATGACTTATTACCAGTGGTTCCATGAGAAGATGACCTGGGCCACATTCCTTTTTTCCCCCTCTGAATATGTAATTAAGAAAGGTAATTCAGAGTGAGGGCAGAAACTCTAAGAATTCTTTGAGAGATGCAATCAGGTAGGAGCAAGGCCAGGAAGGCTGTGGCAAGCTTATGCCGTATACCGGAGATTCGAGGGAGCAGGATGGTTGAGTGAGTTGAAGAAACCCACTGAGATAGAGCAGTAGAGCGGGAGGGAGAACGCAGTTGCCTGACTGCGTATGGCACGTGTAGCAGGGCGAGGCAGACGCACAGAGCGGGCCCTTAGTTACCTCAGTTGCTATCAAGTTTTCTGCTCCAGTTCTGTTCCTCACTTTTGCTTGCAAAAAGACCCATCCATTTCTGTGCCTGTCTTTGCAACTAAATAAACTTGACTGTTGCAGTTATTTTAAACAGTGCTGAGACAAATGGCTTTATAAATTAAAATTTCAGAATATCCTCGATTGTTTTCTGAGGTAAACTGCTACAATGGTGTGCATACTTTTAAGGTTTTAGATGTACTTTTGCCAAATTTCTCTTTGGAAAAGTTTTTATTAGTTTACCTTCCAACCAGTTGGGTTTTTAAATTCTCCACACTATAGTCAAAATTAGCAGTTAGCATTTTAAAGCTTTCAATAGTGATTTCCTTTCTATTTTACTCTTTATTGATTATTAGTGATATTGAATTTTTTTGTTTGTCTAAATTCATTTCTTTTGTGATTTCCCTGTTGATGTTCTCTGCCCATTTGAAAATTGCCTTGTTTTCACAGAGAAACAATTAATCTATCAGATGGAGAAAGCAAATCTATGGTTATTAGAGGGGAATGGAAGAGGGGAAGGGGGAGGGGGAAGGGGTGGGGAGGGGTAAAGGAAATGAAGAATAGGGATGATTTATAACAATAAATGTGCTAATAAAAAATAAAAAAATTAAAACTGGCTTGTTTTACTTATTGATTTTAAAGAATTTTAATTAACTTATATCATATGTATTGTAATATATATACAATATTTTTCCCAGTTTATTGATTTCCTTTTCTTTTTGTTTTTAATATTTTTTGCCATGCTTACATTTTTATGGACTCAAATCTGTTTTCCTTTTCTTTATGGTTTCAAACTTTACTTACATATTTTGGAAGACCTTTCTCAGTATAGTATCAGATCATTATTCTTGTATTTTCTCGTAGATTCTTTATCAGTTTAATACTTATCTCTTTAATTCAGTAGAATATTTTTGTGTGTATATGTAATATGAGGTTAGCGTACATTCTTTTCTTTTCTTTTATCATTTATTCATTCTGAAATTATTACTATATGCTGAATTCTAATGTTACTTTTTCCAGAATGGTTTATCATTTGCCTTAACAACCTCAATTAAAGTCTCTCCTTTAATTTTTTGGTTTGCTTTTGGTGGCTGGTTGGTATGGGGATCTGAACCCTTGTCCTTGGTGTTTTAAAACTGTTCTAACCAACTGAGCTGACTGGCCAGCCCTTGCCTTTAATTTGAAGTCCTATTTGAATTATTTATTAAATTTTTATGTGAACTTGGGCTCGGTTTCTGGTTTTTCTTCATGTCCACTGATCTATTTATGTGTCAGTACTGCCTTGTTTTAGATTGGATAGTTTTATGTTTTTAGTATCCAGTAGTACAAGTGCCCCCTCGTTCTTTTTCATTGTTTCCTTGGATATTTTCACTCATTTATCATATCAGATGAACTTGAAATCATTTTGTCAAGGTGTTAAAAAAAAAAGGCACTTTGGAATTTTGGTTGGGGTGACATTAAATTTATACATTTATTGTGGGGAAAAGTGACATCTTTACATTATTGAGTCTCCCATAGAAGAATATGGTATGTCTCTCCATTTTGGGGGGGAGGATGTTCTTTTAAAGAGTTAGTCATAAAGTTTCTTTCTATTTTTTAATTAGTTTTATTTGTAGATATTTTATATTTTTATTTGTTATGAATAGGCCTCCTATTTATCTAATTTGTTATATTTTCTAATTGATTTTTATTGTTAAGCGTCTATTTTGTTTATAGTTTTTACTGTTTATTACTGCTATTCAGGAAAAAAAGTTATTTGTATAAATTTATTTTGTAACCAGCCATATACTTAGTGTTACATACTTTTGTTGTTGAATATATTAGAATTTTTTAGGTAACAGTCATTCATCATCTGTAAATGATAAAAAGTTGATTTCTTTTCTGATATTTATAATTTAGATTTATTTTTCTTGTGTAATCACAATGATAGAACTTTCAGAATAATTTCAAATAACAATGATGATAGTGTACATTTTTGTCTTGCCCCTAGCTTCACTGGGAATGCACGTAGCCTTCCAAGGTTATACTTGTGTATAATTTTGGCTATTGGCTTGAGGTAGAGAATATTCATTATTTAAATGGAGTATCTTTTCAATCCTAATTAATAAGATTGAAAAAAACAAGAGTGGATTTAAATTTTATAAGTAGTTTCTTGACAGCTGTTGAAACAATCATATTTTTCTTTGACCTATTGATGTGCTGGGTTATATTAATAAATTCCCTAACATTAAACTATCTCTACATTTCTGGAATGAACACTGTTTAGTAACACTTGATTTTTTCTTTAGATATATCCTTGGATTCTATTTGCTGGTGAATATACTTTTGTACTTCTGAAGCTATATTCTTACTTTTTTTGAATTTACAAAACTTACTCTGTGATTATAGTCAGTACTCTTAAGTGTCACAAAAAGTCAGCTAAGGCTGGATTTAAGCATAAAAGGAAATTTATTGATTCGAACTACAGGATCAAAAACAGAGCTTTGGAATCCAGAATCTCAGATAATCTTCCTGCTGTTTCCCCACCTCTGTTATCTCTCATCCTCTCTTGTTGGCTTTATTTTGCTCTACTGCACAAAGGCCTTTGCCACTATAACAAGGAATAACAAACCATTTTCCCAGTGAGGTGGGTAGGGTTGTCATTCCTCCAGTGAGAAATCAGGATGTCCTGGAAAAGGACTGTAAGGTGCAATATGAAAGGCCAATTGCAGTGTGCAGAGGAATGAAGCGGTGTGACTGGTGGGGCCTGAGCTGCCCGCTGTACCATGTGCTTATTAACCTATGACTGTGGGGAGCTGATGACTTAAGTAAATATACCAGGGAAAAAGCTAGATGGGAAAGCATGCCGGGTTGACAAACAAGCCAACCATATAAACAAATAAAATAACAAAATACTTAGACACCACTAGCGTTTCACATACCTGAGATTAGGTGTTAGTGGGAGTGTCTTAGTCTGCTCTGGCTGCCATACCAAAATATCACAGACTGGGTGGCTTTGACAACAGACATTTATTTCTCACAGTTCTGGGGGCTGGCAAGTCCAAGATCAAGGCGCTGGCAAGGAAGGTTTCATTCTGAGGCCTGTTCTCTTGACATGTGGGCAAAGCCATCTCATTGTGTGCTCCATCCAGTGTCTTCCTCTTTGTGTGTGTGTGTGTGTGTGGAGAGATAGAAAGAGCAAACTCTCTGGTGTCTCTTCTTGTAAGGACATTAATCTCATCAGACCAGCATCCTACCTTCATGATCTCATCTAACTCTATTTACCTTCCAAAGGCCACATCTCCATATTCCATATTTCATCATCTTGGGAGTAAGGGCTTCATCATGTGAATTTTGGAGGGATACAAACATTCAGTTCATAACAGGGAGCCTCTAGAGTGGACTTTAGTTAGTACAGAAGGATTGTGTTCATTTTTGTCCCAAGCCAAAGTTGCTTTCATTCTTGAGTTGTACATCCTGCTCAGTGTTCTAAAGTCTGTTTTCCCTCCCTCAACAGTTGCACATTTCAGTTGTTTTGGGGGTTTGTCTGTTTTTGGTCTGGGTATAAGTGAGAAATATTGGTCAATGTATTAGTCAAGATTCTCCAGAGAAACAGAACCACTAAAATGTGTGTGTGTATTTATTTATTTATCATAAGGAATTGGCTCATGAAATTGTGGAAGCTGACAAGCCCCAAGATGTCTGCAGTTGGTAAGCCGGAGACCCAGGAGAGTTAGTGGTGTAGTTCTAGTCTAAATGCTGGAAGACTCAAGACACAGCAAGAGACGATTTATGAGTTCAAGTTTGAAGGCAGGAAGAAAACTGATGTCCCAGCTCAAAGGCAGGCCGGCAGGCAGGAGGGTTTCTCTTTCGTTTGGGAGAGTCTCAGCCTTTTAGTTCTACTCAAGCCTTCAGCTGATGGGGTGAGGCCCAGCCACATTAGGGAGGGCTGTCTGTTTTTACCCAGTCTATTGATTTAAATGTTAAATTCATCCCAAAACACCCTCACAGACACACCTGGAATAAGGTTTCAGTGAATATTGGCACCCTGTGGCCCAGTTTAAGTTGACCATCATAGGTCAGTTATTACAGATTAATAAAGTTCAGCATAAAAATATGAATTGGAAAAATATCTGCAAAAAAACCCTGGTAGATTGCAATAGTCATTTATCTTTTTTTCTCTGCCAAAAACACTCAAAAGATAAAAGAATAAGTAGGAACTAAATGCCAGTGTGGAATATAGGAGATCTCCATTAGTGGCTGAAGATTTCAACAACATTCTGGAAACTGAACGAGGATGGAGAAAACTTTGACAGAGTAGTGGAACCTACAACTTAAAGTGCAGAGAGGTTGTGAACGAGATGACTGCCTCTTAGCTCAGTGGAACCTTAAACAGACTTGTGGTTTGGAAGTACTGGTTATAGCGGAGAGTGGAGTGAAACATGGGACTGAAAGTAGAATTACTCTTCATCTCCTTATGGAGAGGCTAGCCCCTTAGCCTGCTTCTCCTGGCCTATCAGCAGCGCATCAGCAACAAGTTGCCTGTTCTTCTAGGCGAGAGATCAGAATATATAATGTTTTATGTTATTTTTTGCCATCCTCCTGTGAGATGCCTGTCTGCCTGTCCTTACCATAGCACACAGTTCCCCTTCATGCACCTGTAACTGAACTATAAATGGAGTGTTACATAAAGTTGGAAAATTCTTGAGGAAACAACACAAATAGATACTGAAAATATGAGGGAAGATAAGAGCCCGAGAGGGTAAATTTAAATCTCCAATTTAGAGAAAGAGAGGACACAGAGAAAATGGACATTGTGAAATTTTGGAGTACTGGTGAAGAAAGATCCTAAAAGCATCCAGAGGCAAAAACTAAAACAAAGAATAGGTTGCATATAAAGAAATGAGTTTCAGACTGAATTCTGGAAGACAGGGGAGCAATACTTGGCATGTTTCTGAAAGATTCTCAAGCTAGAATTCTGTACACAGCTGCATTATTGATAAATGAGAGGATACAAATGAGGCATTCAGAGATCTTTTATTCATCCTTTTAGATCATCTAAAGGAATGTTCCAGCAAGTAAGGAAGTAAACCAGAAAGAGAAAGAATTGTAATCCGGGAAACAGAATGACATCAAAGAGAAATTCCAAAACTGCAGCTTTGTATGGGGCCAGGATCAGAGCGAGAGGGCCCTTGGAGTGGGGGTGGGGGTGGGGGTGGCACGTTCTAGAGAAAGAAAATTTTAAGGAAGAAATGACACAATAACTTTTCTGAGGGGAAAATATTGAGGATATGACAAAGGCCAATTGTGTCAGAAGAAAGGCAAGTTTTATCTGTAGTAAAACAAAAGCTGCATAAGAGAAAATATTCGCATAGTTTTTAGGTTTGAAATCAACAGTGTTTCTGTGTTAACTGTTGTCAAGGGATACTTACTTCCCATGTCTCAGGTTTCCTTGTGGAGGAACTTCCAATAAAGTAACACTCCTGGGCTTAGTCTGGTCCTCCGTCACTTCTCTCCAAGGGAGGCAAAGTAATTGCTCCAGCTGAGGTATGTGAGAGAGGTTACTGGGCACGGGTGGCTCAGCCCCTCCTGTCCTCTTTTCAGAGCTGCCTGCCTGCAGAGAGGGCACGCTGTGGTCTGCTCTCTCTGCCATGCAGGAAACAGCAGGGCAGGCGCTGCTTCTGTGGGGGGAAGACTATGGTTGTCCAGAGCAGCCGTGGTAAGTTTGAATCTGGGGTGCAGTATTAGGAAGCCCATTTTTGCTGTGTACTTAAGCCGTTTTAAATGCTTTATTGGTAATAAAGATGGTCCTTTGTTCTCCAATTTTTAGCCTCCTCTGTTTTCTCTCACCTAGTTCTGTTTTTCTTTTTTTTTAAATTAAAAATCTATTTGGGTATATTTGTGGGGTGCAGTGTGTTGTTTCAATATATGTATATACTGTACAGTGATTCACTTAGGGGAGACAGCATATTTATCCCGTGAACATTTATCTTTTCTTTGTGGTGATTATAGTCAGGATCCTCTTTTCTAGTTATTTAGAAATATACAATATACTAATACTAGCCCTAGTCAGCCTAGAACACCAGACCTTATTCTTCCTGTCCACCTGTAACTTTGTACCTGTTAATCCATTACTTCCCTCCCTCCTCTCCACTTCTCTTCTAGGCCTCCCGTAACCATCAGTCTACTTACTGCTTCTATGAGAACCACTTTATTTATTATATTGTATTTAAACATTTACTCATACATTTTTGTGGGGTACAGTGTGTTGATTTAGTACATGCATATATTGCACCGTGATTCACTTGGGGTAGGCAGCAGTTCTGTGCCTGTCAGTCCACCCCTTCTCCTCTGCCCACCCCCTCCCCGAACGGCCTCTTGTAACCATTATTCTACTTTCTACTTGTATGAGAACCACTTTTTTTTTTTTTTGATTCCACATATGAGTGAGATCATGTGATATTTGTCTTTCTATTCCTGGTTTCCTTCACATGATGGTTTCCAGTTCCATCTATGTTGCTGCAAATTATAGGATTTTTTCCCCCTAGCTGAAATGTATTCCATTGTGTATATATACCACAGTTTAAAAAATCTGTTTATCTATTGATAGGCATTTAGGTTGATCCATCTCTAGGCTGTTGTGAATAGTGTTGCAGTGAACATGGGAGTGCAGGTGTCTCCTCCATAGATTGATTTCATTCCTTTGGGTATATACCCAGTAGTTGGATTGCTGGCTCATAAGGTAGTTCTACTTTTAGTTATTTGAGGAATCTCCAAACTGTTTTTCATAATTTCCAAATATTAATTTACATTTCCACCAATGGTATAGGAGAGTTCCCTTTTATTCACATCCTCACGAGAATTTGTAATTGTCAGTCTTTTTGATAATGACCATTCTAACTGGAGTAAGATATCTCATTGTGGTATTAATTTGCATAGAAATTTAAGTAGAAAAATCTCTTCTTAAAGTCCCAGGTAGTTCAACTCCAAACTTGCATCCTGAAATCAGTAAATCAGAAGCCCTATGGTTGACTTCATCTCCGCTCCTCAGTGTGTGGTGGCTGGTGGGGGCGGCGGGTGGAGGAGGCTGGTGGGGTTTGACAGGGTGGTCTCACTTCCCAGTCCAGCAGTTCATCTGGGTACTCCTTCTGGTTTGGTTCTACCTGTTCCACGAGGTAAACACTGCCTATCAGGAGACCCTTTTCTATGGAAGGCTTAGAATTTTTCTGCTCTTTAAAGTGAACCTGCCAGATATGAACACATTTCATCTTATTTCGATGATCTTATTTAATGCTTAAGGTATCCACTGTAAATCAATTGTTGAAATAAAAATTTCCTTTGAACTGAATAGGGAAACTCTTGGTAAATATCTACTCTAAAGACTTATGGATGTGGGAAAAAAGTATTGAAATCTTTATACAGGAGTACTGGGTGGCTAGAGGAGAGGTGAAGAGTGACTTTACTGTAGAATCTTCTGTACTTTAAAAATTTTAATCATGTGAATATATTTCCTATTTAAAAATTAATTGAAAATATTGAAGGAAACAATATTTGGAGATCATCTGACTCTAAGTAGAAAATTCTGTTCAAATATATGTATTTTTTAGAATAGTAAAGATATCTATTAATATTTCATTGTATGTTTTTTCTCTGTTTTTTATTTCATTAGAGAATTTAAACATTCTGATCTTGTGTAGCTGGTTACCTGATAAAAATTTAAGATAGCACTCAACAGTCTTTAAAAAAGTTAGTCTTTTTTCCGTAACTTATCACAAAATGGCAGTTTTGACAAAGATATCAATTTTCCAGAAAGCTGAAAAATTTATAAGTTTTAAGCTGATCCCATTAGGTCCTTAGTTTAATGTTTTTATTAGACAATACTTTTTATTTCTCTTTCAATATTTAGGACCCATTTCTGTTTCATATCTCATTGCATGAACTAGAATTTCTAGAACCATATATGATGATAATGTTTTATTTTCAGTAGTGCTTTTAGTAGAAATGCCTGTATTATTTTATCATTAATTATGGTACTGGGACATATGTTTTGTCTTGTCAACAAAGTATCCTTTTATTTTTCCTTTAAAAAGAATTTTAAAAATTAAAATGAATTTCAGATTTTATCAGTTGCCCTTTTGCTATCTGTGGTAATAATGACTATTTATGAGAGGTATTATACTAATAAATTTTCAAGTGTTGAGTCTTCGTTACAGTCCTGGGATCCGCTCTATGTGGATACTATTGATTTGAAAAAAATCCGTATTTTACTTAGCCTCTTCACATCTCTATTCATATGGAAGGATAGATTGTAGTTTTTTTGTTTATTTTTAGTCTTTATGTCATCTTTGTCTTTTTTGATCATTAGTTCTATGTTGATTAGTTAATTTTTCTACGTTTTCAAAAATATAATATGAGGAATTAATCATTTGTTGAAAGTTTTGAAGAAATTCTCTAATGAATTAAATAATCTGCACCTAGATCTTTTCTTCTAGGTACTTCTTTATTAATATGTTCAATTTTTTTTTTACTTCTTTTTTTTTTTTTTTTTTTTAGATCTGTAGAAATTTCCAATGTGTGAATGCTTCTGTTCTGAATTATGTTCTTTATTAATATGTTCAATTTTTTTTTTTCTTCTTTTTTTTTTTTTTTTTTTTAGATCTGTAGAAATTTCCAATGTGTAAATGCTTCTGTTCTGAATTATGATTGTGATGTTCAGAAAATGTGTCATGGACATGGGGTAGGTAATATTTTTGGTTTGTTCATGAAAGTAGTGCTGACTGAGAATTCCCAGTGAAAATTAGATGAGAATTCCTAAGATATTTAGATGTTGGGAAATTTAGATTCCTGATAAACTTTTCTTAAAAAGTGTCCATGAGTTTGCATGAATTTAGTTCTTTCTTTTGGTTTCCATTCTTGAATTGGTGATAAAAAAATAAAAAGTGGTATTTTGATTGTTTTGAAGGTATGTAATAGTAATAAGAATTGTCACTGTGAAAATGGCTGGGCTCCCCCAGATTGTGTGACGGAAGGATACGGAGGAAGTGTGGACAGTGGACCCACGTACAACGGCAAGTAATATAGAAGAAAATTACTATGATCTTGCATCCTCGTACCTCTCCCTCACTTCCCGCATTAGTTATACATTAAATTGTGTTGATTATGCCTCTTAAATTCCTCATGAACGTTTTCATTTTTTCATCCCCATTTATTAGTTTCAATTTCTTGTGTGGACTTACATAAAAGCCTCTTATCTAGGCTCACTGTTTCCCTTCTTTCTTCCTGTAATCTGTGTCATACACTACATTACAGAGTTTTAGTGTTTTCCTCAAGAATTCAGTTTTAATTATGTCATTCTCCTGCTTTAAATTCAGTGCTTCTGCATTGCTGTTAGAACGAAGTACACAAATCCTTAACATGGCTTTAATTCTCTGGATGATTTGCCCCTAGCTTACCTTTCCAGCCTGACTTCACTATGCTTAAGACATATTGTAACTTATTCCATTTCTCCTGATAGGCTATTCTCTTTTACCTCTAGGCCTTCATACCATATTATTTTCACATTGTTGGAACTTGGCTATTTGATTCTCAGGCTTCAGTTTATACCTTATTTCTTTTCTTTTTTTTTTTTTTTTTTTGTCTTTTTCCGTGTCCGGCAACGGATCGCAACCCTCAGTGTCGCCCCCGTACCGGACCGGGACCGGCAACGGGATCGCAGCCCTCGGTGTTGCTCCCGTGCCTCGCTCAGCCAGTGAGCGGGAACCGGTCTGTATGTGGGATCCGAACCCTCGGCGGGAGTGCCGCTGCGCTCTCAAGCTGCGCACAGTAGCAGTGCGCCACCGGGCCAGCCCCTTCTCACCTAATTTTTATTCTGCTTGAATCTTACCTTGGTTATACATGCCTGACTATACTACTCCTTCGTAGTTTCCATTTTGCTTTGTGTGTTCTACTTCAGTTTATGGTTTGAATACTTCTCTCTCATTTACAATAGAATCCTCTGTTTTTTTTTTTTTGTCTTTTTCCGTGTCCGGCAACGGATCGCAACCCTCAGTGTCGCCCCCGTACCGGACCAGGACCAGCAATGGGATCGCAGCCCTCGGCGTTGCCCCCGCGCCTCGCTCAGCCAGTGAGCGGGAACCAGTCTGCATGTGGGATCCGAACCCTCGGCAGGAGCGCCGCCGCGCTTCCCAAGCGGCGCACTATAGCAGTGCGCCAACGCTTCCCAAGTGGCGCACCGGGCCGGCCCTATACCTTATTTCTTAAAGGAAATTTTCCCTGACTACCTAAATCTGAATTAATCTGTCCTTTCTCTTTGCTTTCCTCATACTGTTAGCACTGTCATATACTATAGTAATCAGTTGTTTTCTTCTTTTTATTCCCTGATAGACTATGAGCCCCTTGTTTGCCAGTGTATTCCTCGTGAGAACATATACTGTCTTTCTTTTGGGTAAATACTAGGTGGAATGACTGGCTCATATAGTAGGTGTATGTTTAGCTTTTTAAGAAACTGCCAAACTGTTTCCCAAAGGGTTATGCCATTTTACATTCTCATCAGCTGTGTACGAGGGTTCCACTTTCTCCACATGCTTTCTAATACTTGATATGGTCAGTCTTTTAAATTTTAGCCCTTCAAGTAGGTATATAGTGGCATTTCATTGTGGTTTTAGTTTGCATTTCTCTAATTACTAATGAGGTTTAGCATCTTTTCATGTGCTTATTTGACATTCACATATCTTTTTTGGTGATGTATCTGTTTAAATCCTTTTTCCAGTTTCAGTTGGGTTGTTTGTCTTCTTGAATTTGAGAGTTCTTTATATATCATGGATACAGTTTGTTAATCAAATATGTGCTTTGTTTATATTTTCTCCCAATCTACTTACTTTGAGTTTCATTTGTTTTTCTTTTTCTAATTTCATTGATTTGAGACCTTTTTTCTTTTCTAATATTGGCATTGTAGTGATATCAATTTTCCTCTAAGTATTGTGTTTCTTCATCCCACACATTTTGATATGTTGTACCTTCATGTTCATTCAGTTCAAAATACCTTCTAATAGGTTTTTACTTTTTTCCCCTCAACTCGTGTGTTGTTTAGAAATGTATTATTTTGTTTTGAAATAGTTGGAGATTTTCTAGATATCTTAATGTTATTGATTTAAATTTTATTCCACTGTAGTCAGAGACATGATTTGTATGACTTGCATTCTTTTATATTTTTTTGAAACTTGTTATGACCCTGAATGTAGTCTTAAATAAAAGTCTGAGTCCTGTGTACACATAAAAAGAATGTATGTTCTGTTATTGCTAGGTGAAGTGTTCTATAAATAATTAGTTCATGTTAGTTAATAGGTGTTTAAGTTTTACATATTCTTAACTGATTTTCTGTCTACTTGATCTAACAATTATCAAGAAAGGAATTTTGAATTATCTGGCTATAACTGCTATTTTGCCTGTTTCTCCTCACAGTTCTGTCAATTTTTGCTTTATGTATTGTGACTGTCTGTATTAGGTGCATAAACATTTAGAATTGTTCCATCCTCTTTATAAATTTCCTTTTTATCATTGTGAAATTGCTTTCTCTATCCCTGGTAATATTCTCTGCTCTGCAATTAGATATTAATATAGTCACTCCAGATTTCTTTTAATTAGTCATCATGGGAAATCTTTTCCCATCCCTTTACTTTTAACCTATTTATGCTGTAGGCAGCATATAGTTGGGTGCTTTTTTGTCCAGTCTGGTAGTCTCTGCTTTTTAATTGAATTGTTTTGACCATTAATATTTAATTTGGTTTTTGATGTGTTTGGGATTATATGTAATGTCTTGATATTTTTCTATCACAGTCTGCCTTGCAGTAATAATGTACCACTTCAGTATGTTTCCATTTCTCTCTGTTTGGCTTTTGTGCTATTGTTGCCATATATTTTACTTCTACATATGTTGTAAACCTTACAATTCATTGTCATTAATTTTGCTTTGAACAATTGATTATCTTTAAAGGAGATTTAAGAATGGAAAAGGTCTTTATATTTACCCACATATTTATCTTTCTGGTGCTCTTCATTTCTCTGTGTAGATTTAGATTTTTATCTGGTAACATTTAATTTCTGCTTGAAGGACTATTTTTTTTAATATTTCTTATAATGTGAATCTGCCAGTGCCAAATCCTTTATCTTTTGTATGTCTAAAAAAGTCTTAAATTTCCCTTCCTTTTTGAATGATAATTTAACTGGGTAAAGAATTATAGAGTGACAGTTGTTTTCCCCATTTTACTTCTAAAGATATTTCTACATTGTCTTCTGGCTTGCATTGTTTTTTTCCCGAAAATTCCATCATTCTTTTATTTGTATATAATGTCTTTCATATATAAAGTGTCTTTTTTCCCTCTGGTTGCTTGTAAGATTTTCTCTTTATTTCTGTTTTTCAGTAACTTATTATAATGTACCTTGCTGTGCTTGGGATTTGTTGAGCTTTTTGGATCTCTGCTTTTATAGTTTTATTCAAATTTGGAAAATTTTTTGCTATTTAAAAATTTTTTTTTCTGTCTTTCCTCTTTTTAAGGGAGTCCAATTCCAAGTATATTTGGCTGCTTGGAGTTCTTTTATATTTCACTGATTGGCTGTTGATTTTTTAAAGTTACTCTTTTTTTTTTTTTCCTTTTTGTCTTTTTTTTACTGACCGGTAACGGGATCGCAACCCTTGCTGTCGCGCCCATACCGGGGACTGGCAACGGGATCGCAACCCTCAGTGTTGTGCCTGCACCGCGCTCAGCCAGTGAGTGGGAACCGGTCTCCACATGGGATCCGAACCCTCGGCGGGAGTGCCGCCGCGCTCCCAAGCGGCGCACTCTCCATTGCGCCACCGGGCCAGCCCTAAAGTTACTCTTTACTTCCAATTTTCGTGCTTCTTTGCATGCCTTGTAATCTTTTACTGGATGCCAAAATTGTTAATTTTACCTTGTTGGATATTGGATATTTTTGGATTTGTTGATGAGCTTTGTTATAGTATGTTTAACTTACTTGGGCACAGTTTGATCCTTCTGGGTCTTGCTTTTAAGTTTAGTTAGGCAGGACTTGAGTAGCATTTAGTGTAGGGCTCATTTTGCTTCATTACTGAGAGTAAAATCCTTCTGTTTATTCTGCTTAATGTCACATTAATTATGAGGTTTTCCACTGTGAATTGTAGGAATGAGCATTCTTTCTAGTCCTTGTGAGCTGTGGAGATTGTTCCCAGTAATCCTTTCACATGGTTCCTAGGAAATTTTCTTACATGTATACCTGATCAGTACTCAGCTGACTCTTTGAGGGGAACCCTCTCCCCTCTGGTACTTTGCTCAGTGAACTCTAGCTGCTGTGGACTGTCTGGAGTACCAGCTCCATCTCCTCAACTCAGGGAGACGACTGGGCCATACTTGGGTTTCCCCAGCCCTCATCAGGGTCTGTTGACGTTCTCTGGGCAGTAAGCTGGGTGATTGTAAGGCTCGCCTTACTTTTTTCTCTGTCTCATGGGAACATTGTTCTTCATTGCCTGACATACAGTGTCTTAAAAAGTGTTGTTTCATATATTTTGTCTGTGTTTTTGGTTGTTTTAGACGGCAGAATAAATCTTGTCCCTGTTACTCCATCTTAGCATAATTATTTTCTAATTATTACATATTTAGGTTGTTTCTAAGCTTTTGATATGCGCTGTTAAGACTGAAGTGTAGGGCCGGCCCGGTGGCGCACTGGATAGTGCGCCGCTTGGGAAGCGCGGCGGCGCTCCCGTCCGAGGGTTTGGATCCCACATACAGACCGGCTCCCGCTCACTGGCTGAGCGAGGCGCGGGAGCAACACCGAGGCTTGCGATCCCGTTGCTGGTCCCCGGTCCGGTACGGGGGCAACACTGAGGGTTGCGACCCGTTGCCGGACACGGAAAAAAGACAAAAGACAAAAAAAAAAAAAAAGACTGAAGTGTACATCTTAATGCATATGCATTTTCCAGTTGAAGGATAAATTGCCAATAATGAGATAATTAGTTGAAGGGTAATTTTTTTATGGTTCTAGATAAAAATTCCAAGTGAATGATATCTTTGTGTAATGCCACTAACAGTGTGAAGGTATCAATTTTGACCTAATCTTACCAGTGTTGGGTGCCTTAATTTAAAGTTTATGTACTCATTAGTAAGTGTAAAATGATATATCAAGCTTGCTTTAGTTTTTTGTATTTTGATTTTTATTTGGGATAAATGTTGCTTCATATAGTTTCATACAACTTTTAACAGAAATTTCTGGTACTTTTACAAACTTAGAATTATGAGGAAAGTTTCACAGTTTACTGCCCCTGTTTATATCTACTATATTGTTTCTCTAAAGAACAGAGAACAAGTAAAATTAATAAGAATTAATGAATTGTTAGAAGTTATAATGAGACTTAAAATCCAGAAGCCATGAAAAATAAGACTGATAAATTTAGCTATGCAAAATAATAAACTTCTGTATAGAGAAAACCATAGATCAAATTACAAAAAAGGGAAAGTATTTCCAATTTTTATCACAGAAAAGTTAATCTCTCTAATATGTAAAGAAATTTTAGAAATTGAGATGAACCAAAAGTCCAACAGAAAAATGGTCAAATCGGGCTGGCCCGGTGGTGCACTGCTACAGTGCGCCGCTTGGGAGCGCGGCGGCACTCCCGCTGAGGGTTCGGATCCCACATACAGACCAGCCGCTCACTGGCTGAGCGAGGTGCGGGCGCAACACCGGGGGTTGCGATCCATTGCCGGTCACGAAAAAAAGACAAAAAAAAAGGGGAAAAAAAAAAAAAAAGAAAAATGGTCGAATGACTAAGTAGAAAAAAGAAATAATAGTGTTTCCTTAAACATGGAAAGGAGTTCAACTAATAGTTTTATAAAAAAAGTTTTATAAATAAAATTAATAATTTTATGTTACATAAAATTGTATAAGATATAATTTTTCACCTGCCATGTTGCCAAAAGTTTAGATATTTGGCAGTTTGGACAAGGCTATGGAGAATTCTTACATACTTGCTTGTGGGTGTGCTAAATTGTAACTGTCACTATGGAGGACAATTTGACAATACCTGAAAAAAATGACGAATGCATTTACTCTTTGATACAGCAATTCTGATTTTTGGAAATTATTCAGTCAGTAATTATACCTACACCCATATGATATGACATATGTACAAGGTTATTCATTGTAGCATTTCTTTTTATGATAGCAAAAATTCGAAAAATCCAAATGTTTATTAGTAGAGTGCTGGTTAAATAAACTATAGAGCATTCTCACACTGGTTTTTTGTATAGCTGTACAGAAAACGAGGAGGCCTTCTATGCACAGAGAAGTGAAAAAAGTGATGTGCCAAATAGTGTTTATAGTATTCTACCTTTTGTGTAAGAAAAAGTTGGCAGTAAAAACACATTTTGTTCTTGCTTATATTTGCATGAAGAAATACTATAAGACTGCATAAGAAACTAATGAAAGTGGTTATCTTTTTGAAGGCAAAAATGGAATGGACAGGGATGAACTGTGAGCAAGATTTATCGATGTCTTCAGTTTATATCAGTTTGATTTCTGAAATGTGAAAATTAATGTAACGCATTTATAATCCCCTAGTGTATTCTGAGTAGTATGAGTTACCGTCTAATTTGATGACCATTAATGTAAGATTTTTCTCTCTAGAGAAGAATACTGCATTGAGGAATGGACTTCTGGTGTTCTTCTTCATAGTCGTTCCCCTTATTGTACTGGGTATCTTTGTCTTCATCAAGAGAGATCAACTGTGGAAAAGCCACTTCAAAAGGAAGCGATCACAAACATATGAGTACTTAAATTATTTGATATAGATTTAAAGGAAAAAATCTAACGTAATTATTGGTGGATGGTAGTCATATTATAGAGGCTGGCAATCCTTTAAAAATCGGGTTCTAGGTTATCCTTTTCACATGATTGGCATGGGTTGAAAGGTCGTGGTGACTAAGCCACCTCTTATAATTGGAAGGATACGATGCTGAAAATGGCCCTTATTTATTTTGTTAACATCTATTTCTGAAAGCAGGGTAAATAGAATTTTGGGCTATGACATCTGATTTGGGCCTTCTAATTAGAGATTAAAATGTGGGATAAAGATTAAAAAATGTAAATGTAAATGGAATATTTTCTTCTACATCTTTATTTCAAGTTATCAGTTTTCATAGAGCAAGAGTTTTTCAAGTCTCAATTTTTAAAAACAGATTTTGTGAATTATAAGCTTTTAAGAAATAGTTTTGATGGAAGAAAGTTAGGGTTGTCATAATTCAGATGTCTGACATTCTTCGTCTTTGTGTTGGACTTTCATATGACTACCTTTCAACTATCATTTCTGATATATTGGCATTAGAATGTAGCATATATTAGCATGGACCTTATAATCAGATCTGAGTTCAAATTCTAGGTTAACCATTTGCTAGGATTATGAACTGAAACTATAAATAAAGCTCTCTGAACCTTTATTTCTCCTAAAATGGGAATAATAATATTACCTATCTTATAGGGTTGATGTAAGGATTAAATGAGAAAATATTAACAAATAAAGCCTATAGCATTGTGGGCACTTTGTAAGTACTTAGTAACTAGTTATTATTATGATTTCCAAATGTGCATATATAGCCTAGTTTACTCACCTTTGGTTTGTTGCCCCAATTCTTATTTATTACATAATATTTTCCCAGAGTGTCCTGACGTTAGCTTTAATTTTAAATGTGTTTTAAAACAGATTTATCTTCCTATCCTTTGTTTCTCTTACTTCCTATAATACTTCTGACTGCCTGGTCTATGCAGGTAGTTCCCCAGTCTGCATCTTTGAAGTTTTAGTTCTGTAACTACAGCTATCTCCCATACAACTCTGCCTACCTTAATTGCTGTCACCTCAGCATGTCTATAACCTATCTTATATCTTTCCAGCCATCTTGTTTGCTACCCTTGGACTTCCTAATTTTTAGAGTGATTACTTCAACTTTTGTTTATGTAGCCTAAGAATCTGCTTTTTGTTCTTCTCTGATTTTAGAAAGAATTGAGAAAAAAAGTTAGGGAACACTGGCCTAATTGACCAAATTTCATAATTTCTTAGAATATCAGTTTAATTAATTGTAAAATGTGGTTAATAATACTTTTTAATACTGTAAGGATTAAAAATGTGTGAAAGCTGTTAAAAATAATGTAAAAATTTTAATTATCATTGTGATCACCACCACTACTGACATCATTATTCTGTATTTGGGAAAATGCAAAGTATGTGTAATATATCATACAGAAATGTTTTAATCTCAATTTAGCTTAAAAGTAATCGTATCTTTCAGATCAGATGGCAAAAACCAAGCAAATGTGTCTAGACAGCCAGTGAGTGTTCCTCGACATGTTTCTCCAGTGACTCCTGCTAGACAAGTTGTAAGTTTAAAGCGAAAATTATTTTTCTTTCCTATATTAAAGTATTGCATATTAAAAAAATAGTTACATGGATATAGATATAAACATAGTTACTTAAGAATTCTGGTGTATTCTATGTGGTCCCTAAGTTAGTTAAAGGAATACCAACAGAATCCCTGGCACAGAGGACACGGGAAAAGACATGTAGACATTAAGAATGCCTTGTTTTGAAACCAAGATTGGGAAATAACATGGGACTTATGCTATCACTTTTTTTCTATGTCTTCCATCTTTCTGTTTTCAATACTTGGCTTCCCTAGGACACCAAAGACTTGGTGCTGAGCTCCTGGATAGGTCTAATTGTCTCAGGGGGTATTGGGATAATGATATACTTTTACTGATATGCATATATCCTTAAGCAATATATAATATTATATTTATCTGTTTTAAAACTTTTTAGAATGTTTTATTTGATAATTTTACACATATATCTGCAATCTACTTTTCACCTTAACGTTACTCTGCGATTGATACCTATTGATACATGTAGCTGTGGTTCATTCATTTCACTGTTGATATTATTATGTTACATAACTATCACACAATTCTAAAATCCATTTTCCTGTTGCCAGATTCCAATTTTTCATTACTATGAACAAGGCTGAGATGAACATTCTATAGAAGTCATCTTGTGTATGTCTGTGCTTTCTAGGACTGTGCTAATATAGTAGTTGCTATCCACATGTGGCTATTTAGATTTCATATTATAGTATATAAAATTAAGAATTCCATTTCTCAGTCACACTAACCACTCAACAGATCATATGTGGCTACTGGGTACTGTATCAGATAGCATAGGTACAGAACATTTCCATCTTTGGAGAAGATTCTACTGGGGAGCACTGATCTAGAGCATATAGGAATTAAATTGCTGGGCTGAAAGATATGTGAATTCTTACCAGAAATTGCCAAATTACTTCTTAAAGAGGTTACACCATTGGGTGATTGTGTCATCAGTGGTGTGTGAGCATTCCTGTCGATGAACATCTTCGTCAACACTTGGTATAGTCAGACTTTCAAATTCTTTCCAATTATGTGGAGGTGAAATGATTAGATATCCTTTTTTCATGTTTGTATATGTATATAAAAGTATATATATACAGAATATCTCTATTTCCTCCTCTTTTCCATTCTAAAAAGGAAACAAAATTTGTTATTCTTTTCCCCTTAACCATATATCTTGGAGATTTTTTCATATTTCTGTGTATATAAGATGGTCACACAGTTCCTATGCATGTTAGTTAGGAATTATCTGATACTCTTCTTCACCTTTGGTATATTTTTTTCCTTATTTTATTGTGGCAAAATATGTATAAAATTTACCACTTTAATCAATTTTTTCAAGATTTTTTTTGTTGTGGTAAAAAATAATAACATTATACCATCCTAACCATTTTTATGTGTATGGTACAACAGCGTTAACTATATTCACATTTTTGCACAACAGATCTCTAGATCTACAACACTGAAACTCTATACCCATTAATTTCCTCTTCTCCCTACTACCATCCCTTGGCAACCACCTTTCTATTTTTTGTTTCTATGATTTTTGATTAGATACTTCACGTGAGTGGAATCATACAGTATTTGTCCTTTTGTGACTGGCTTATTTTGCTTAGCCTAAGGTATTTGAGATTCAACTATGTTGTCACATGTAATTGGATTCCCTTCTTTATTATGGCTGCATAATATTCCATTGTGTGTGTCCATATATACACACATGCCATATATTCTGTATTCATTCATCTGTCAATGAACATTCAGGTTGTGTCCATGGAACTCTTGGCTATTGTGAATAATGCTTTTGTGAACATGAATGTGCAAATATGGCTTCAAGATACTACTCTCAGTTCTTTTGGATATGTACCTAGAAGTGGGATTGCAGAATAATATGGTAATTGTATTTTTAACTTTTTGAAGAACTTCCATACTATTTTAAATAATGGCTGCACCATTTTACATTCCCACTAACAGTGCACAAGGGTTCCAGTTTCTCTACATCTTCGCCAACTCTTGCTATTTTTTGTTCTTTTAATAGTGGCCATCCTGATGGATGTGGGATGATAGTTCATTGTAGTTTTAATTTGCATTTCTCTACGGATAGGTGATGTTGGCCATTTTTCATATATCTTTTGGCCATGTGTAAGTCTTTTGAGAAATGTCTATTCAGATCCTTTCCTCATTTTTTTAATCGAGTTATTTGTTTTTTTGCTATTGAGTTGTTTGTGTTCCTTATATAAGGGATCTTCAAACAGTTCATAGAAAATGCATACTATGTAAAAACTATGTATTGATTGCAAATTTTTTTGCACCAAAATAAAGTAGTACTAAATTGTTATAACATGTCCAAACAAAATCTAGTTTGAGACACTAAGAAGGATAAGACATCAGTTTGAAAAGAACCCTTATCAGAGCAACATGAATTCTGGTAAAATTGAAGCAAGAACAAACGTCAAATTTATGGTGAAGCTTGGGTGGGAGAATAGTGAAATCATGGATGCTTTACAAAAAGTTATGGGGATAGTACTCCCTGCCTGCCCCTCACTTCCCAATCACCAATTTAACAAATGGATAACTCTATTTAAGGAGGTGTGAGACTGATGAAGATGAAGCCTGCAGTGGCATACGATCCACATCAATTTGCAAAGAAAAAATTAATTTTGTTTGTACCCTAATTGGAGAGCACCAACAATTAACAGCAGAAACGATAGCTGACATCATAGACATCTCAACTGGTTCAGCTTTTGAAATTCTGACTGAAAAATTACAGTTCAGCAAAATTTCCATTTGATGGGTGCCAGAACTGATGCACCCACTTCAGCTGCAGACAAGAGCAGAGTTTTCAGTGGAAATTTTAAACAAGTGGGATCAAGATCCTGAAGCATTTCTTCAAAGAATTGTAATAGGAGCTGAAGCATGGCTTTACTAATATGATCCTGAAGACGAAGCATAATCAATGCCATGGCTACCAAAGAGGTGGAAGTGGTCCAGTCAAAGCAGAAGTGGACTAGGCAAGAGTCAAGGTCATGGCAACAGTTTTTGGATGCTGAAGGCATTTTGCTTGCAGAGTTTCTGGAGGGCCAAAGAACGATAACATCTGCTTATTAGGAGAGTGTTTGGAGAAAGTTAGCCAAAGTTTTGGCAGAGAAACACCTGGGAGAGCTTCACTGGCTTCCTTCTTCACCATGACAATGCTCCTGCTCATTTGTCTAATCAAACAAGGGCAATTTTATGAGTTTTAATGGAAAATCATTAGGCATCCACCTTACAGTCCTGATTTGGCTCCTAACTTCTTTTTGTTCCCTAATGTTAAAAAATCTTTAAAGGGCACCCATTTTTCTTCAGTTAATAATTCTTCAGTAAAAAAGACTGAATTGACATGGACCATTCATATGGTCCCAGGATGCTCTGTTCTTTAGGGATGGACTAAATGGCTGGTATCATCATTTACAAAAGTGTCTTGAACTTGATGGAGCTTATGTTGACAAATAAATTTCTATTTATTATTTTTGTCTTTCTTTTTTTTTTTTTTTTACTTTTTTTTGTCTTTTTTCGTGACTGGCAACGGATCGCAACCCTCAGTGTCACGCCCATACCGGACCGGGACCGGCAACGGGATCGCAACCCTCGGTGTCGTGCCCGCACCTCGCTCAGCCAGTGAGTGGCCGGTCTGTATGTGGGATCCGAACCCTCGGCGGGAGCGCTGCTGCGCTCCCAAGCGGCGCACTGTAGCAGTGCGCCACCGGGCCGGCCCTTATTTTTGTCTTTCAATTCCAATTTCCTATGAACTTTTTGAAGTCCCCTCATATATTTTGGATATTAGCTCCTTACTGGATATATGGTATACAAATATATTCTGCCATTCCGTAGATTGACTCTTCACTCTGCCAATTGTTCCCTTTGATGTGCAGAAGCTTTTAGTTTGGTGCTGTCTTATTTGTCTATTTTTTGCTTTTGTTGCCTGTGATTTTTTTGAGGTCATATCCAAAAAATCTTTTCCAAGACTAATGTCAAGAAGCTTTTTTCCTATGTTTTTTTCTAGTATTTTAAAAAATAGTTTGTATTAGTCTATTTATATTGCTTTTAACAAAATACCTGAGACTGGGTGATTTATAAAGAAAACAAAATTTATTGCTTATGGTTTCTGAGGTTGGGAAGTCCAAAGTCCATCTGGTGGTGGTGAAAGTGACACAGCGATCTCACATTGCAAGATGGTGGAAGCAGAGAGAGCACAGAGAGACAGACAGACTCTCCTCTTCTTTTAAAGCCCTCAGAACCACGCCCCTGACCACCATTTTTAATCCATTCCCTAAGGCATGATCCTACAATCCAATCACCTCTTCAAGGCTCCACCTTTCAATTACCATAATAGGATTTACCACCCTCTTAACAGTCACAGTGGAGACCAAGTTTGTAATACATAGAACTTGGGGACACAATTCAAGCTTCAGTGAGTTTGGGGGGGGACATAATTCAGTCCACTACAGTTTCAGGTCTTACATTTCAGTTTTTAATCCAGTTTGAGTTGATCATTGTATATGATGTGAGATAAGGGTTCAATTTTATTCTTCTGCATGTGGATATGCAGTTTCCCCAACACTGTTTATTACAGAGAAACTGTCCTTTCTTCATTTTGTATTTATTAGTCAGGGTTCTCTAGAGAGACAGAAGCAATAGGATATGAGAGGGGATTTATTAGGGGTGTTGGATCATGTGATTGTGAAGAGGAGTCCCGTGATAGGCCATCTGCAAACTGGATGCTGGTAGCATGGCTCAGTCCAGGTCTGAAGGTCTCAGAACTAGAGAAGCTGGTGTGAGTCTTGGAACCCAGAAGCAGGAGTGTCAAGCTGTGATGTCCACAAACAGGAGAGCAGTGTGGTGTGTATCCCAGCTCCAGTGGATAAAGAGAGCGTTTCACCTTTTATTTCTGTTTTTATTCTTTATGGGCCCCCAGTGGATTG